TTTATTGCAGATAAGGGGTTAGAACAAAAGAGGGGACCAAAAATATACCGACGAGATCGGGAGAGGCTTGTAGTATGAGTGAAGGGGATGAGGAAAGCAGAGGCGAGGTCTTTCCTCTACGTCCTAGTGGGGAGCACGACGGTGTTCATCATGATGCTCACCTACAAGGCAGGGCTGATGGTGGAGCGGAAGAGCCCGGGAGGGGGGATGTATCTGCCTTGGAATCGGAGGCTGGCTCAGAAGAGCCCTTCCCTTCCCCTCAATCCATGCAGTAACCCGCTCGGATCTCAAGCTTCCTTGCCCGTGATCTACGTCGTCACCCCGACGTATCCCCGGCCCACGCAAATCCCCGAATTGGTTCGTTTCGCCCAGACCCTCATGACCGTCCCGAACGTGTTCTGGATCGTGGCAGAGGATGCCCCGATTTTGAACATCCGGGTCGCCACGTACCTCAACAGTACCGGGCTCCCTCACACTTACATCGCAGGTAAATTTGAGGTCGATCGGCGATCGGAGGGGCCGACGTCGGCTCGATAATACATCTAGAAGTTTTACTTCTTCGCGACAGCCCCGATGCCGGAGAAACATCGGAAAAAGAAAGTGATCCCAAAAGGAGTCTCCAACCGGCGAGCAGGGATAGATTGGATTCGCAGGCACGTCGAAGATGGAGTCATGTACTTTGCGGACGATGACAACTCCTACGATCGGCGTATATTCGAAGAGGTGAAGGAAAATGCATCTTGTTAATCTTGAATGCATCATTATTCATTCATGTGTCCGAAGCAATAATTAAAAAAAAATTAGAGTCGAATTGGAGTGCTTGAGGAAAAACAAGAAGAAACCTCTGTTGGTTAGTTGTAACCTGTGGCCTCACAGAGTGAAATCCCTTCGCATGACGAAAGGCCTCTTGGTTTGGATTTTTATTTCTCCAAACATTATGAACAATTTTTACAATCTGCGGATGTCTTCGAAGTACGATAGCCCTGAAACAGCTGCTACGTTTGTCAGCCAGGCAGCTTCATTCGTCAACATTTAATTTCTTCTATATTTTGGCTTGGAGTAAAAGGTTCGTTCGCGAACATTCATAACCGAGATCGAGTTTTGATAATTTTCCTTTTTCGATTCCGCATGCGGTCCCATTTTGCTTTTGCAGATGCGTTGGACGAAGAAAGTGTCGATGTGGCCGGTGGGCCTGGTGACCCACCTGGGCGTGTCCTCGCCCGTCGTCATCGACGGCAGAGTCATCGGTTTCTACGACGGGTGGTTCGGAGCGCGCAAGTTCCCCGTCGATATGGCCGGATTCGCAGTCGGCATTCCATTCCTACTCACGGTACGCTACGGTGGATCGATACCACGAGCATGATGAATCCTTAGAGTATCCGACGATGGCATTCGATGTGCCCAAAATTAATGATTGGGGCGAGCGTTAGAGATAAGGCCCTATCGTGAGAATGTCAACAACTGTGTCAGGTTGCCAGGCTGCGGCGACCCGAGGTGACTCGCACCGGCAAGTTCGCACATCATCGATCCGGGGTCAGGAGCTCTGACCGAGATTATCGGCTTTTGGTATCCTGCTAAATGAGAGTGCAGGTCTCATCCACGAGCCGCTTGCATGCGTTAAGTATCGATTCGGTCGGAAACACGTGAAATCGGTTGTCTTTTTCCGAGCAGATGCACAAGGCGGAGATGCCCTACAGGGCGGGCTACGAGGAAGACGGCTTCCTTCAGAGCCTCAAGATCTCGAAAGCCGACATCGAACCCAAAGCCTCTGGCTGCACTAAGGTAGGGCTTTCGTTTTCGCTTACGAAGGGAATGAGTTCACGCGCGCGGCTAAGCTGGGTTTTCTCACCTCGAAACTCGAAAATTCGAGCACTGCTTGAAAGGAAATTCCTTATTTTCGCCACCTTGAATAAAATGGTCACGGCTCTCGGAGAGAGTCTGCTTGAGAGCAATACCTTAAGGGTGTTTCTCAACCCCCAGATTTTTAACGCGAAAAGAAGTCAAGGTTGAAAAGAAAAGTACCTGAAACCTTGAAGGAGTCATATATTTTATAATGAACAGTTTGAATATCAACGAAAGCTTCAGCTGCATTATGTAAATACCTCGTACAAGATTAAAAATGATGACTGACAGAGGAAGGGTGGGGGCGGGGGGGAAGGGGAAGGGGAGGGGGGTGAATGGATATATAGATGTACAGTACGTAACAGATGGGTTTTCCCCTGGGTTTTGGTCTCGCTTCCCTGCTCCCGACTACCTCAATCCCATTCTCGCCTATCCCGTGACTCCTGGTCCCTCCCGAGACTCTTGGAAATTCCTACAGCAAAAACCCGATTCCACGTTCGAGACCGTCAGGCCGCTATAAATAATCCAACCCCTCGAGAGAAAAATTGGCGGGACCAGACCGACGGACGGGCGTGGGTGGTGATAGCGGTATTAAGAGAGAGAAAAGAGCGGAGACGAAAACGGAAATTCCATGGGCCTCATTCGGCTACTTTTGCGTACTTTTTCTTTATTTGGTTTTTGCTATCCCGGTCTTTCCCGAAAGGTTTCACTCCCGTTCCGTCCTTTCTCGCACGAGGGAGCGGGAGAGAAACGTGATTACCGAAATCGGGATTCTCGTTACCCTCTACTTCTTTGTTACATCCTCGTCTTGAATGGGACAGCTACATGGTTAAAGCATTGTTCTATATTTGATGAATCGATAAATCTCGGTGATAGATTTTTATTCTCCCCCCCCCACCCTTTTCCAACTTTTGAGAGCAGAAAATGAGAATTCCAATCGATTTCACTTGCAGATTTACGTGTGGCACACGAAAACCCAAGCCGCGAGACCGGCGCCGACGATCGCCCGGAACAGAACTCACTTCTCGGACTCGAATCTTCCCTCCTTGGAGAAGGAACTTTTCCTCAGGACTTGATCTCCCCACGTCGGGGGAAGCCCTCGACGCGAACCAAAGAGATTCCGCCTACGGCCCTGCCATGCTTTTGTTCTCTATATTACCATGCCCTAATTAGACACCCAATCACTTCCCATGCTGGAATCAATAGACTTGAAATATGATCGTGCGCCTGCTGGTGGCCCAATTTCAAGCGAGTCTAGCAGCAGCATGGGGGTGTAGGAGGGGCGGAAGGGGGAAGGGGGGGGGGGGGGGGGGGAAGGGGGGATCTACAGTCTCTGGAGTAAATACAAGAGCATGTTTCCAGTGAAGCAGGAACGAACTGGCCCTCCGAGAAAGAGATGGAGATGCCTCCAAGATTACTCATCGAATAGAAAAAAACATGGAACAAAAACTCTTCAAAGGGGGAAAACAAAAGACATTGTGAGGGTTCTTGACTCGCTACTGCCTCGGTTAGAATTATGAAATTCGTTCAATATTTACTCTTTTTCTTATTTGCCTTTGGGAGGAGCAGAGGGACCGGCTCTTCGCTTTTCGTCTCCCATATAGCACTCGTGCAGGCGGAGAACGATGGCAGATGACCTGCAAAAGACAACACGATGTTCGATGTTTCGTGCCTCTTCCGAAATTCTTACTTTTTGAAGAGCTTCTATTCGGTGTGAATGAACTTAATCCCCCCTCGATACCATTTCACCTCAACGCCCAGCCTGGAGCGATGAGAAGTTAATAGTCGGGAAATATCATTTTTCATCCGCGAGACCGAACCGAAGGAAGGACAGGCCCTCCGACAGGCCCTCCGACAGGCCCTCCGACAGGCTTCTCACCTCGATCGGTGATCCACGCAGAGTCGACGCTCGACGACGCGGAAACGCGATCATCCAGTCGCTGCGATTTCCTCCCTCGCTTGTTGAATCGATGCTGCCAGGTCTCGCGTGGGACGGCCGAGGCGGCCTTCTCGATGCGGCGAGCGCCGTTGTCGCACCAGAAAACCGACCGGTTTTCATCATTGATGAAATGGACTTTCAAAGATCGATTCCCCGATGCCCATCCCATAATATTACATTCCCGCCACACAGCCATTAACTGGATGCAATTGGATTCGCTTTCTCTCCATTTGAAGCAGTATTTAAAATAGTTGTACTAAGTATTTAAAATAGTTGTATTTAAAATACATATTTCCATACATTTGAGGTGTTTTGTATTTGAATACATACCACTCGATGTATTTATATTTTATATATGAAACTCAGTTTACAATGTATAAAATCCTTTTTAGTCGATTCAGTGCAACTCCAAGCAGAAACCTCAGAAACCTTGCCTTTCTTTAAGTTTTAGATGGGCTTCTAATTATTAGATGGCCTTCAGTAATGTTGAACGAGAAGGCCAGAAGGCGAAGGCCAAATGCGCTGCATGCCCTTCAGAGAAAGTGATGAGTGGGACTCTCACCGTACCATCCGACTTCTTCACGCACTCGAAGGTCGATCGTGTTGCAATAGCTGAGCGTTGATGCGCTGTCCTATCCTTGGCCCAAGCATTTTTATTATTATTTGTAATGCATTTGTTATGCATGCTCATCGTTGGGTCTAAGCCTCGTGCAAGCCCGAATCTTGTCGGTTTATGTTAATATTTCCGTTCTATCCTTTCAGAGAGTATGTCCAGACCTCATTAGGATTACGAATGGTTTCTGTATAAGGAGCAGTCAGGGATTCGGAAAGGAAAAGAGAAAGAATGCCATTGTTCAGCCAGTCTGCTGTTGAAGGCTGATGGTCCGAACTTCTAAGGGGTTCCTGATTTGGGGCAAAATCTGAAAGGCATGATGTAAACGTGAAAGTTTTTTGCATTTTGTATTTTCAACTATATTTTAAAATAAACATTTTGCATTTTGTATTTGAAATAATAGTATTGGACTGTATTTGTATTTGGTATTTTAATACTCAATCACTTGTTATTTTGCCCAGCTCTGCATGTAGTTGCTGCTTCAACATCACATCTTCATTCTTGAGTACGTTTTGCACGACACAACTTGAGAGAGTTCACACGGATGGTTGGTGCCATGGAGCATATCGGCATATCATTGTGCACATAAACTGTTAAATGCAGAGAGTACCCGTCTTTTCCTCCTTTCCTTCCTTCCCTGTCTGCACTGAAATCATTTGAGAGGAATGCTCGTCCTCTGCGCGTTTTCAACCCGGAAGGAAGCGTTCACCTTCTGGTCCAATGGATCAGAATCAGGTCAAAACGATAGCCTACCCTCGATGTAATGCCTCTGTCATCACCGATTTTGGCGGTGGTGCTATATTGAATTCACCAAATTAGAATTAGAAGCTCCTATGGAATATTTTTCAAAGGAAAAAGCTCACGATAATCTAGGGTGGCGATATTCCTAGTGGTACGACGCATTCGACTCGTCGTGGGATGAATCGATTCCGGTGAAACCGCTCGAGTGAAATATTTTTATTGCAGATAAGGGGTTAGAACAAAAGAGGGGACCAAAAATATACCGACGAGATCGGGAGAGGCTTGTAGTATGAGTGAAGGGGATGAGGAAAGCAGAGGCGAGGTCTTTCCTCTACGTCCTAGTGGGGAGCACGACGGTGTTCATCATGATGCTCACCTACAAGGCAGGGCTGATGGTGGAGCGGAAGAGCCCGGGAGGGGGGATGTATCTGCCTTGGAATCGNTGTTTCACAACAAGGAAGGATTCAGAAGTCAGTCACTATACACCCTGAGCCTTTTAATCACTGAGTATTACATTATATCAACAGAGTGGTTAAACAATATTAAGAATCCTGGAAACAATGCACGTCTCACGTCCTTGGTTGTAGTCAAGGGAGTCAGGAGCACGAATATGCCCCTCACGAAGGGAAGGCTTGTCTTTGAAGGCGCGTATCGCTAGGCTTCTGGAGGTACGCCCTGTCTGGGATCCTCCGACACAACTGTCCTTGTCGCTGTCTGGCGTGGAATCCCCACACAACTGGTCCTTGTGGCTGCCTGGCGGAGTTCTCTTGGGGGGTGGCATTTCAGGCACATTATCCCAAGGTTGATCAGAGCGCTTATATGATTCTCTCCCATTTCGAGACCTGGAAAGGGTTCCCTTGTAAAACGAGGAAAAAGCCATCTGCAGACAAACATAAAAAGGCATAATAATGGACTGATATATCCAACTAAACCAAGCTCCTAGAATCATAGAAAAGGATTCAAATTCAGAAAAGGATTGGAATTAGAAGTATGACTTGTAGAGTTTGATAAGTCTGTATGAGTACTTGAATGGAGCAACTGAGAGACAACATCTCTACACCATGTTGCATGTCCTGCACAAATTCCTATTTGAAAATCTGCATCATCCGCAATTTTTGCTAACATTCCTCAAAATCTTCGTTTTTGAGTTCCTGCAGCTCCCGTTTCACTTCTCTGATGACGATTTTCAAATGGTCCTTCTTTGCGCAAGTTCTTCTTGATCCTTGGAAATAACCAAAAATTAAAAATTCCTTCTGTAAAAGTCCGAATAATTTTGGACCATCCCTCGTATAATTTAGCCCGATATTCGCGCTGATCATGCACGCAAAGGTGAGTATTACAGGCTGACCTCGTCGAAGGTAATTTGCTATATAGGAGATGAAGGCCTATATATTTGATAAACAATGAACCATGTCATTGGGATCCGGCGGACCCCAGGCAATGTGATTAGGTTAAACGTAAATGCAAATTTATATAATGTAAAAGTAAAAATTTAATGAAAGATCGCAATGCGCTTGTGCGATCTTATAACTGACGTCCATGCAACATTGCAGAAACGTCGCCAGGACGTCCGTCACTTTGCAACCGTCATGCAACGTTGCTGTAACTTTTCTATGTTGATACGGTTAGCGCCGACACGGAAATACCTCGTACTTCGACATCGCAGGGACGTCTGCAAGGAATAACGGCGACAGGGAAGAACGAAGACAGGAATAACATCTACCTTGAATAGCGCCGACACGGAATAACGTCGACAGTGCAGAAAAGCCGTGAGTGCAGCATAGACCTAAGTGAACAGGAACGTAAATTCCTCAGACAAAAAAAGGAATAAGTACAAAAGATTCCCATAAAGCAACCACGTATAAGACCCTCAGCAAACATAGTAGCATTTTGGGAACGTTCAGTTCAATACAATGTCATCAACGTTGAAGGTCCTAGTGAAACGTTGCAATGAATGTCTTAGCAGTGTTATGGCACTAAGATACCTTCTTAAATTGCATTTTTGAATAATGTTTCTGGTTACATGCAGATCCAATAAGGGATAACTTTTTTTCCAAGAAACGACCAAGAACCTATCCAATGTTACTAACTAACGTTGACGAAATGCTTCTGCTTCGACGTTCAGCAGTCTCATTCATCAAGGATATTAAGAACGTGTCACGAGATGAAAAATGCAAAGCGCCACGAAATGTTGAATCGCTGTTCAGAAGTTTTGATGTGGAACGCGTCTATGCTCGCTGGGGAATGTTGAACCAATGTTGAACTTCGACCTGCACCCCACCCCAGTAGCGTCAGATATTAATCCAACGTTGGACCATCATCGGGCACATTTTCTACATACATCATGCAATTATTGATCATATCAGCTAAATATTGGCTCCCCAATATTGCCATTCCATCGATCCCAAATCGGATTAACGCGATGATCCAAAGTGCCCAAGTTGTATCATTTTTTTTTACGCAAATGGTGAAGTTCTCCTCATGGGATGGGTCTCCCTTTTCGCACAGTACACACAAGTGCGCTTCTCTCTTTCGATGGAATCATTCCTCACAGAGTAGTTAGTACTTCAATACATGTTTCCCCTGATCTCATTATAGCAATCAATGAAATCGGACACTTATTCATCACCGCCATATTCGAGACATAATCATGGAGCCCAGGGGATAAACAAGTTCATCCTCCCTATGAGAACCCCTTGTAAGCGTAATGTAATGCCTCTGTCATCACCGATTTTGGCGGTGGTGCTATATTGAATTCACCAAATTAGAATTAGAAGCTCATTAAAAGCTCATATGGAATATTTTTTCAAAGGAAAAAGCTCGCGATAATCTAGGGTGGCGATATTCCTAGTGGTATGACGCATTCGACTCGTCGTGGGATGAATCGATTCCGGTGAAACCGCTCGAGTGAAATATTTTTCTTGCAGATAAGGGGTTAGAACAAAAGAGGGGACCAAAATATACCGACGAGATCGGGAGAGGCTTGTAGTAAGAGTGAAGGGGATGACGAAAGCAATCCGCTCCAGAAAGGAGATGCAGGATCACCCCTCGTGCTGCCACAAGTAGTACTACGAGTGGATGTTCCGTCCCGACTACCACCTCGCCTTCTCGGGCCCTCCCCCCTACATAGACGGAACCTTAGCGAGGCTGGCTCAGAAGAACCCTTCCCTTCCCCTCAATCCATGCAGTAACCCGCTCGGATCTCAAGTTTCCTTGCCTGTGATCTACGTCGTCACCCCAACGTATCCCCGGCCCATTCAGATCCCCGAATTGGTTCGTTTCGCCCAGACCCTCATGACCGTCCCGAACGACAAGACCTAGCACCGTCTCCTACGGGGCTAAAACTTGTAGGCCCAGCGGTGCATGGAGTTGTCATGGCCCGAGGGAGTGTGAATGTAGCGTCCATTTAAACTCCAGCTAGCCGCTAGCCTCCCCGGAACGTCGGCTCGATATTACATCTAGAGGTTTTACTCCGCGACAGCCCCGATGCCGGAAAAACATCGGAAAAAGAAAGCGATCCCAAAAGGAGTCTCCAACCGGCGAGCAGGGATAGATTGGATTCGCAAGCACGTCGAGGATGGAGTCATGTACTTCGCGGACGATGACAACTCCTACGATCGGCGTATATTCGAAGAGGTAAAGGAAAATGCATCCTGCTAATCTTGAGTGCATCATTATTCATGCATGTGTCCGTAGCAAGAATTAAAAAAAAAATAGAGTCGAATTGGAGCGTTTGAGGAAAAACAAGAAGAAACCTCTGTTGGTTAGATGTAACCTGTGGCCTCAGAGTGAAATCCCTTCGCGTGACGAAAAGCCTCTTCGTTTGGATTTTTATTTCTCCAAACGTTATGAACAATTTTTACGATCTGCGGATGTCTTCGAAGTACAATAGCCCTGAAACAGCTGCTACGTTTGTCAGCCAGGCAGCTTCATTCGTCAACATTTAATTTCTTTCATATTTTGGCTTGGAGTAAAAGGATCGTACGCGAACATTCATAAACGAGATCGAGTTTTGATATTTTCCCCGTTTTCGATTCGAGTCCCATTTGGCTTTTGCAGATGCGTTGGACGAAGAAAGTGTCGATGTGGCCGGTGGGTCTGGTGGGACACCTGGGCCTGTCCTCGCCCGTCGTCATCGACGGCAGAGTCATCGGTTTCTACGACGGGTGGATAGGAGGGCGTAGGTTCCCCGTCGATATGGCCGGATTCGCCGTCGGCATCCCGTTCTTCCTCTCGGTACGCTTCAGTCCCAAAAGTACTTGTACCTCCCAAGGATGGCCGCGAGAGCGGGACTCGAGCCGGATTCCTCGACTAATCCGGGGATTAACGGATAGGACGAACGTGTAGACGATTTCCTCAAGGTCTTGCAACTTCTTTTGCTTTGCGTTTGCGAAGGATTTCTGGAGATTGATTTTTTTCTAACAGTATATCAGTCGGTGCCTACCGGAGATTCGAAGTTGAAAATCCATCAGATCCATCAGATATGAGATCAAATACACAAAATCCAATGATAACCTACCGTCGGTCCGTCCGCCAGAGGCTCGGACGGGTCGGCTTTTACGAACCCGACCGATTCGGCCCGATTCGAATCATCGATCGTCGACGATTTGCGTGGTCGGTCCCCAGCCCGCTTAGGTCTCTAAATTGAGAATACGACGCCTCTGATGGGATTTCTATTTTTTTCATCCCATACACTAGGATGCTCCAAATTCAAACGGTGCGTCTCATTTGAATGCTATGGGACGGAACTCCTGTTAATTTAAATTGTTATTTAGGGGAATGGGAAGAGGTGGGGGGGAAATGGGGGGGGGGTTATGATGGGATGTACCCAATGTAATTGATCTGAAATATGTCTGTTCAAAATTCCAGCGATGTGTCTCATTAGAGTGCTATTGGATGGAAGTCGATTAGCTTCATTATGA